CTCGGGGCCTTTGCAGAAATGCCCCTGGTACCGTACGTGTCACCGGTACTTATGCCGGCTCCCCGTACGGTACGGGCACCAGTCTCGTACCAGTCCTCTGCTGCTGTACTCGTACTCAGTGTGACTTGCTGTTTCGACATTCGGAATCCAAGACTTCGACTTTGTGCCTTGCCACGGTGTCTGCGTCCGATCCTCAGTCCCAGTCAGTCGTGTCGAGTGAGTGCGTGTGTGTGTGTGCTCTCACTCTCTCCCTCTCTCTCTCCTCTCCCTCGGCTCACCCTGAGCCTCACGCTCGTTACACTTCCCCTTGATTTTCTGCTACCTGAGAACCAGTCTACTGCTGCTCCAGGCACTTTGGAATTCGCTTATAGATATGAGAATCATATGCAGCATGCAGTAGAGCACATGCACAAAGCACAGGTGGCGATGATCGAATCTGAGAACAAGCACCGCCGCCCATCTATGTTTCAGGTAGGGAACAGGGTCTGGGTCAAGGCTTCTGAACTGGGACAGGAGCACGGGATTTCCCGAAAGCTCATGCCACGGTACTTTGGACCGTGGGAGGTTTTAGATATAGTTGGGGATGAACCAGACGAACCTTCATATGTTATTCGGATTCCCGGACATCTTCGCACTTACCCTGTTTTTCACGCTTCTAAGCTTGCACCTTTCAAAGAAACTGACCAGTTCCCTTCGCGACGCTCAATGCTGCCCCCAACCATGGATGGAGAGGTCGACATTGATGAAATCGTGCATCACAGAGAAATGCCAGTTCCAAGACCGACCGGCAGGGGACGTCCTCCAAAACCGAAGCTGTAGTACCGGGTTCGGTTCAGACATCACACTGATCCAAAGGAGGATAGGTGGTTCACAAGGGAGGAACTGATGTAAACCACTCCACAGGTTTTCGCTCACTATGAGAAGTTTCTGCAAAAAGGAAAGCGCCAGATTATCGAAGATTGAACTTCTCAGAGGACTAGCGAAGTATGAGGGAATGCGAGGCATAGGCCTCGGTAAGCCGTACTAGGCCCCTACTTGCAACAGGTCGGCCGCCCTAAGTGAAGGCAGGCCCAACAGACGACAAGAGGCCTATTTTTGACTACTTCGCAACTGGGGAAAATTCAGGCAGTTGCGCAGCGCCAGTTGGTTGAAGGCGCCCAGGCCCTGGCCTCCTTTATCGCCTGTATCTAAGTCAGCCCCTGGGCGAGATACGTAGCATAGGCCCAAGTCAAACAGCGGGCAGTTGGGCCCGGGTAACTGTCGGTGGCCCTGGGCCTGATTCGTTTGGTCTGAGGCTCAGCCTCCCTGGGCCTACCGGAAGCTTCTCGGCAGGGACCCAGCACAGCCAGGCTGCACGCAAGCAGGCTGGCCATTTCCATTTAGGAAAGGGCCAGCCTACGCATTCGGCATTCGGGCACTGGCTGCTTTGTGCGCAAGCGCTGCTGCGCTATCGCCTGCCTGGCTCACGCGCTCACGGGCGAGCTGGAAGAAGCAGGCAGCCATAGCCAAGCTGCGCTGCTGTATGCTGGATGGGGCGCATGGTGGTCCTTGGGTGCAAGTGGCATCTGTGAGTTGGGGAACGAGGTCGTGAATGATATAAGAGACATACCTGGTGCTTGAAGCGTGCGCGGCATTGGCCGAGATCTGCTCGTACTTCGGTGAGCTGTTGACGTCATCAGCGGCATTGTACTCTAGACTAGATAGGATCTGCCATTCGTAGTCTGGGCGCCCAGCGCGAGATAGGACATCAACATTGGTTCTTCGTTGATGATGATGATGCGACTATTTCAGCATTGTCAATTATGAGCTTTTGGTGTGCTCTTATTTGGTGAAACTCGTGATGCAATTCTGCTTTTGGTTCAAGGTCACGACTATCTGGTCTCATGTGTATGATGCTGTTTGATTGCTGAAGTTCGCTATTGCTCATCTTCCTTGCTCATGCCAATGGTCTAAAAAAAAAAATTAGACACTGCAGGACCTGTACGCAACACCAAGAGTGCCATGAACCGTCCCCTGCTGCACAACCTGCAGAGTCGAATGATATCCTTGTGCTACAGCGAGGCCACTGCATGTACTATGCCAAATTCCACAAGATCTCCACGCAAGACCAGGAGCACCACTGCTTAAAATACCCTCAAAGCTACCCCCTTCCTTCCATGTGCTCTGAAGGAGCAGCCCGTGGGAATAGGACCCAGAGCAAACACTCTCTGAGCCTCCTCGCAGAGATATTGTGGTCAAAGCCCCAAACTCCCACCCCAGAAAGAACTCGTGGCCACCCACAGGCATTACTTTATCGACAAGACAGCCCATGCTGCAAACAGGGCAAAGAATTAGGCTGTGTGTGTGTGTGTGTGTGTGTGTGAGAGAGAGAGAGAGAGAGAGAGAGAGAGTCGCGTGCTAGGTGAATGAAGACAGAATGCAAGGCCACTTACTTGTGTTAAGAACATAGACGTCAGAAGTCCACTTATTCCCATCTGAGCCACCACAGCTGCAAAAAGCAGAGTACACGAAAGAGGATTGCCACTTGTCAAATTGCCCTCCTTTGAGAGAAATGGAACCATATATAATGGAACTAGTAATCGCAGCATATTCACATGAAAGCTCAATCACACGTCCACAATGCATCATCACCGTCATAGGACATCGCCGAGAGCACTTCCTAATCGCTCAGCTGAGCAGCATCACTACTTTGTCCATTATAACATAATAATCCAGCATCGAAAGACTTAATCGCTAAGTCATGCAGCATCTCTAGTGATGCTGCACAGCTGAGGGTTTCCCTGTTATGCTGCACGGCTGAGAGTTCCCCTGTTATGTGATTGAGAACATCGCCGAGAGAACTTCAATTCATTCATTGATGGCTTGCACTTTCTTTTGTAGAAAAGTGTCTGGCTTGGCGGGGCTGCATGGCTGCACGTGTGGTTCCCAGCAGCTTCATGTCCAGACCCAGTATCTGTTCCCAGGCCATATTTCAGATAACAGCCTGGGCCCGAATTGGTTAGAAGCCCCAAGGTGTGCGATGTGGCGGATGCTCATCGCCCTGTAGCATAGCCTCTGAAAAGAGGCGCCCCACTGCATAACCAACTGTTGTGGGGGCAGGGTCTGCCAGCTACCCAAAAGTAGGCCCGCGCGCAGAGTTGCACAGCCCGACGGTCGGCTGCCAACCAGCTGACCAGCTGGCTTGTTGGCACCCCGCAATTTTTTTTGGGGGAGTCCATAACCCCAATAACTTCACCAACACCCCCATACACCCCCCAAGAACCTAAACAGCCCCCCAACTCTCTCCTACCCCAATACCACCCCCATAACCCCCCCGTACCCCTCACCATCCCCAAAAGTTTCTCAGCGGAATTGGGCTGCACTCA